TGTTTGTTTGTTTGTTTGTTTGTTTGTTTGTTTTTCATCTACAATTTTTTTTATTTGCAGTGACCACTCCAAAGTTACTTTGTGATAAACCAGGACAGGAACTCGAAAATTCAGCCAAACACAAGAGCAGTTTAACAGGTTTATTAAAAGTGCTGAAATTGGCAAGACTCAAATCATGACACACTTCTCATATAAATACCAAAACACCTTAAACAGCCGCTACCCGTTTGTGATTTCTGGTGGATGCTTTGCTTATGTGCAGGGGGTTATACAGTATATGCTACCACTGTGTGGTATCTAGTTTTATCTGTGAAACAACAATAAAACTGAGTTTTGCTCTGATTCCCACCTCTCTCCTCCATCATCCTTGATTCTTTGACTGAGTCTCTGTCCTGAGATGCTGAGTCTTTCTCCATCAGACATTTCACCAAAATCGTCTCCATGAGGCTGAGCAGCATCAGAGCAAAGATCCCGATGCAGTAAATCACTAAGAGAAGCAGACAGATCAACAATAAGCACTTTCAATGAGTGTGTTCTGTTCCTCATKATAGACTTAAAACACTTTATCTAGTGTAATGTCACTTTAGCATCCCCTTAAGTCATTAATTTAAAATAAGAAGTAAAAGTTCATTTTTTAACTACAAAAAGGATGACTACTTTTAGTTGAAATAAACAACCCGCTGCACTCCCGCAAACCTGCTATTTTTCCACAACACAAACTAAAAAAAAGATCACCCCTCATACCTAACCCTTTTTCTTGTTTCAATCATCTAAAATCCATTGGGTCTGTTTTTATATATGGGAAAATCCAGGCTAGATTCATGAAAAATGGGCAGACACTTTCCTGTGGATGCACAAATAAAACCCATGGATGTGTCACAGTGCTTTTTTTCTGGTTTGGATTTTGTCTTTTGGTGTTAAATGTGGTCTTGATCTGTTTATAAAACCTAGTTTACTTAAAAAGTTTATAAGTTAACACCATCACCCTCTGCCAAAATCTACAAGTTGTGCAGCATCTTTGTTTAAAACTTTGTGTTTCGGTTGTGTCAAAAGTGGTTATGACTAATTCTCTCTTTTCCATCTTTTCTGCATTTTATGACAAATAAACAACAAATAAATGTTGACCGGGGACAAAACTCCTGTTATTACCTACAAGTGGAGTTCTGTCTGAGGAAACAGGTAGAATCTCATTGAGAATCAGCTGCATCACTGTGACAGCGAGCAGCACCGTGACCTTGAAGCTGATCTTGTCTCCACCTTCAGACATCAGGAGGGAGGATAAGTCCAAACACAAGAAGAAGAGGACAGGCAGCAGGAAGTTTGCAACATAAAAGGAAGACCTCCTCTTCATAGTGATCTTTGAAAGGGGGGACATGATTAAACATTTTAACTTGTTACCGCAGCTCAGCTCCGATAAAAAAGAGTTAAAGTAGATAACTTCTACTTTAGTGGATGTCTCACTTCAGAAAACACTTACTGTGAAAACKATTACAGTTTGGTTAAAGCCAAAATAGTCAACCGTTTTGTTGGTGCCTGACTGTTTCTCGAACAGCCACTCATATTGATTCTCCATGATCACACGAGACCACGCAGTGAGTGCTGTGTTGTTATCAAAATATTTAATCTCTAATTCTTCATCTGAAACCAAGGGAAAGAAGAACAATTAGGTAATACGTTTTATTTAACATTTCATTTGCAGCCTTAAGGTGTCAAAAAAAAACAGGTCTCACCAGAGTGCACCACAGATTTGAAGGACAAGTTGCAGTTCTGAACGTCAAAGGGGAACCTGTAAACGTGCATCCTACAGGTGCTGGTCACAACTTGGTCATTCCTGTATTCCACAAAACCTAAACTATACACTCTGAGGAAAGGGGTGGGTGGAGCTTTGTCCCTCTCTGTCCTGTAAAAAAGGAAAAAGTTTGTTTTATGTCAAACAATGACATCTTCAACTTGTGAGGTGTATCGCAGAATGACCCGGGGCGCAGGCAAAATCCAAAAGGCAAAAAGTTTTAATAAACAAAGATGGGCTGTCGAGGCAGCAAAAAACTTACAAGAACTCTTCGCAAGGAAACAAACATGAGGGACACAAGGACACCACACTGACCGGTGAATAGTACAAACAYAAAGTGACAAGAGACTGAATTTAAAGGGAAACTAATGAGAGATAAAGGGAAACACCTGGAGAAGACATAAGAGGAAACAGTTGAGCAAGGGTGGGACTGGAGGCCAAACAGCATGACAGAGATCCACAGGGGAACACAGAAACACAACTAAAGCAGAAAGACACAGATTATGACAACTAAATCATAAATGCTAAAGGTATTATTATACATTAAGTCTATAAGTCATTTTACTTTTAAATCTGTTTTTGCMACATTGCAATTTTTTTATTTTATAGCCTGAATTACTGGAAGCAAAGTATGAGGAAACATTTTTATATTTCGCAAAAGTCTATTCATTTCTAGAATATTTATTTTTTTAATATTTTAGCTCCTCTGACGCCTGTGGCACAAATCATTCTTGTTCAAGCCACACTTGACCRTAAATTTGATCGAGCGTAGGGTTGTGTGTTTGAGAATTGAGTCTTTGAGATCCAAGATAAAATAATTTTTTTTTCACAGATAATTCACATATCAGGAGTGGGCAGTAACAAAATAAATTTACTGGTACTTAAGTCCAATTTTTGAGAATTTGTAATTTACTTGACTAGCATCATGATATACAAGAATTTGCCATCCTTCCTGAAAAACTTTCAGTTAAGTAATAATTTGACAGAACTACTTTTACTTTTATTGGAGTAATATTTGACTGTCAGTACTTTGACTTCAGTAATGAAACTGAGTACWTTGTCCATCAATGTGTAACTTGATATTTCAGTATTTATTATGTGATATCTAAAAGCAAAGTAGAAAAATAAGGTATATATGTACATGAGAATATCAATTGTGTGAACAAAGTAAATAAGCTTCACTTTTAGCCTGATCAAGACCAAGAAAGTTACAAAGGACTTGATACGATGGAAACGTGCTTCCTTTTTTGCAACCGAATCACATATGGCACCAACGTTTCATGATCACAAATGTGTCATTTTGCTATTTGCAACAATCAATAAATTTTTAGTTTGATGCTAATCAGGAGCCTTGCTCTGTCAGCAAGTGGAGCTGAAGCTGAAGCATGCAGACTTACATCTCCTCAATTGTTAGATCAGGCTTCCACAAAGCTTCAGTTGGAACTGAAAAAACTGAAATTCCACAAAAATCTGTTTCATTCCACACAAGATGGGGATTATCCCAGCCCTGAACGAGAAAAGAGTAAGTGATGAGAGAATAAGGAAGAAAGACTGYTTGTCTTTCAAATATTCTAGTTTATCTTTTTCTCTTTATTAACATAATAATCTTTATATTTCCAGAGAAAACTCACCATATCGATCCAAATGTAGGTTATCAAGGTTTGGTCAGATTGTCTCTGTGAAAACAGAAATACAGCAGGTTTGGAAAACTTTGCAAATGTTTATCTGTAAACCGGCAGTAGTAACAAGTACACACTAACTGAAGATCTGTTTTAAACAAAATGTTAAACAGATCACTTCAGCTCTTTCTTAAAGCATTAAGTTGGGGTCTTTATGTAGTAGAACTGCAACACTTTGGTCTGAACTCCTCCTTATTGTAACTCCACAAGCCCCTCTTTCACCCCTTATCTGAGGAGTGTCTCAGATCAACTCATTTTGAGGCTGTCTCTTTAAATCCAAACAATGTGTCGGCAGAAGACTTGTCCACCCAGCCTTACATGTTGGAGCCAGAGTCTGACCCCCAAATATGTTGGTAATTTGGTAAGTTGGAAGTTGGTAAGTCCAGACCCTGTTCAGAAATTATGTCGCACAAACAGTGATGTAATAGTTCAGAAAACATCAGAGAAAAACTAAACAGACAGAAAAATATGACCCAAACAGAATATAAATATGTCTACACAGCACCGGGAGGAACTAACTTCATATTTTCTGCACTCCTAGGGAGTAAAGGTTCACAACACTGTCGTAAATGTGGCAAGAATAAACCCAGGTTGCAGTCTGGCTCAAGAAGGTAAAACAAAAGTATTTATTAAGTAACAAAAACTGCTGTAAGGACAGCTTTACTTACAAAAATCACGGAGGTCACAGGCACGAGGGAACAGGAAACAGCGAACAAAACAAAATGAACAAAATGATCCGACGCCAGACAAAGACAAGACAGGGCTTAAATACTCAGAGAACTAATTGCTAAACAGAACACACC